ATTTTAAAAATAGTTAAATAAAGATTTGAAATGTTTTATAAGGTTGAAACCTGAAGCCTCTGACCCACAAACATCAGCAGACTCCTGGTGTCTGATCTCGTCCTCAGTCCGTCTTTGTTTGTTTCTTGGAAAAAAGATTTGAATCTCAATAAAACTGTCAGAATAAATTAGAGACTAAGAATAATAATAATCATCTTCCTGCTGGTTCCGTCTGGTCGTCTGAGGATGACGCACAAGATCAGATGGACTGAGGTTACAACACTGACTCAGTGTGACTCACTGTCTGAATCACTGTTCGACTACTTGGTCACTGAGGTTTAGATTATTCTATCAGACTTGGTTTAAGTGAGAGTCTCACAACATTCACTCAATATTGACGTGAGGACCCTGAAATTAAATCTTAAAGTCAGCACCTCATCCTCATCCTCATTATTCTGCTTAATTTCAAGTCCAATGTGTTGAAATCCAAAAGGAAACTTTTTAAAAATGATTTAATTGAAATGAATGAATTGCCTCCTGAAGTTTTCACCCCGGATGTTTGTTTTTTGTTTAGTGACACCGACAGAAGAACCCGTTAACTCATAATAAATAATATTCAGCTGTTTTTTGACAGTTGTGTGTTGAAAAGTGAACAATAAATAAAAGACATTAATGTTTCTAGTATTATTGTGAGAGGTGTTTTTAGAGAGAGAATGGTTTCTGTCATTTCCACTCATACATCCTCTAGATTCACACTCATAGATATCCGTCCCCTCAACGTCCCTGAGTCTTCGACCATATCCAAGAATTGTTTCCTTGGAAAATGTGGTTTCATGAGGAGACCGCTGGACCTTGTGGGAGGTCTGAGCTCCACTGAGAGACCCTCTACTTGTAGTTGTCTCAACGGGCTCGGTCATGTGTGAGAAGTCGTTGTCTTACACGAGCTGCAGGTATTTGAAGGAGGCCAAGTCTTGAGGAACACTGGTGAACTGGTTTCCATCCAGATACCTGAGAAGACGACAGATAATCTGAATCTTCATCAAACATTCATCAGGTTTACTTCCTGTCTCCTGGATTTATCACATTAAGTAGAACAGAACAGAAGAAGATGTCTCCTGAAGCCCACCATCGATTCTTGACTCTTGGTTGCCATCTGCAACCTCACCACTAGAGGCCACTAACACACAAAACTTAAATCTGCGTGACTTGACGCACTGGTCATTAATATTTCCTGTGCGCAGCTTATTGCCTCGATATTATCTCAACATTTCCGGGTTTTCACTGCAACAACAGACGTCGGGTTGTGTTTTCCGACTCACAGTTCGGTGACGTTGCGGGGCAGCCCCCTGGGGAGACCCTGTAGGTGTTTGTTGCTGCAGCGGACCACCGTGTCCAGGCAGGTACACTGGGTCGGGCACTGAGGCCCCGGGGAACAGCTGCTGTCGTCCAGCACCGAGCCTGAACCGGAGAACAAAGTTTCACTGCAGGGCATCAGCTCTCCACCATGTTTTAACTCTTGTCTCCTCCGCAGCTTGAGGCAGTTCGTGACTCAGACACAAGTGTGTGTGCTTCTTACCATCTTCACAGCGGAAGTCGGGCACAGCTACGTCCTGCAGGGGGATCTCCCGGAGGAAGGCGGGGCCCTGGCAGCGAGGATTCCCCGTCACGATTCTCCTGCTCCGCAGCCAGGCCCCGAACCAGGACAGACGGCAGTTGCAGTTGAACGGATTGGCCAGGAGGTTCCTGGTGGATCGAGAGAAGAAAAGAAGGAGGTAAAGAAGGTGACATACAGACACACACACTGTCCGTGTCCGTGTCCGTGTGACGTGTGACGTGTGTCGCTCACAGCGTGGACAGGTTGGGCAGCGTGTCGAAGGCCCCGGGCAGGATGGTGCTCAGCTGGTTGTCGTAGAGGGAGAGAAGCCGGACGTTTGCGAGACCTGTGAAGCTGCCGTTATGGATACAGCTGATCCTGTTGTTCCTCAGCATGCTACACACACACACACACACACACACACACACACACACACACACACACACACAGAGTTGGCAGTCAGTATCGTCTTTGTCTCCGTATTGTGTTTTCTAGTTTGATGCTGGTGGTGAACTCACAGCATGCGGAGTCCCTCCACCCCTCTGAACATGCTCCCTCTCACAGACTCCAGGTGATTGGCTGTGAGGTGAAGCTCCACCGCCGAGGACGCGCCGTCAAACGCTCCGTCCTCAATGTCTGAGATCTTGTTGTTGCTCAAGTTACTGGAAGGAAGGAAGACAATGAATAAAACTTCACAGTCCTCGTGAAGTGGTAATTTGCAGAAACAGTCATTGGGATGTTTTCCAGAGGTGAAGTGATCTAATCACACGTTCCTGAACTGGGAACATTCTCAGTTTACTTTTGAACATTGTTGAAGTTGTCCGAGCGACCTACATTTTCTTGAGCTGCGTCAGGCCCTTGAAGGCGCCGGTGGCCTCCAGCACGGAGAGGTCGTTGTTGTTGAGACGCCTGCGACGATCAGAGACAGAACATGAAAAACATCATTAGCAGAAGAGTCGGTTTGGAATCTGTGTGTTTGTCCTGCGTGTGTGCATCCATGCAGCATGAGTCCGTACACGCATGTCAACATGGATATCCATAAAGAGGCCATGCCCAGCATGTGTGTATTCATATGAGTGTGTGTGTGTGTGTGTGTGTGTGTGTGTGTGTCTCACAGCTCTTCGGTGGAGGACGGCAGGTGCTCAGGGAACTTGGTGAGGCGGAGGTTGGAGCAGTCGACCACGTTTGCTTCACAGCGACACTTGGCGGGACACACCGGCTTACTGTTACACTCGTAGCTCTGACGTCTGTCCTCAGTGCCTGGACGCACGCACACACAGACACACACACACAGACACACACAGACAGACACACACACACACACACATAAAGATAATGCAGAAAAAGACAGAACGTGTGAAACTACTCGCCATATGAATCAGTCTCGACAGACGCAGACAATATCTATAATTTTAGTTTTAAATGACAATGACTGAGGTCTCATGGGTTAGAGCTGATGATGCATCTTTAATACTAATGACAATGTACAAGACACACAAATACACGGATGTACACACTAACACACATGATCACCTGGGATGTGGTACTGCTCTTTGGCTGTCATGGGAAAAAAACCAAGATAGAAAACGACATCAGTCGAAAGGTTCGAAAGATTTAGAGCAGCTCAAACACACACACACACACACACACACACACACACACACACACACACACACACACACTGACCGGAGCATCGGAACTTGTTGCTCTTGATCTGTGCGATGCGTTTGTTGGCGAGGCGGCGTGGGCTGGCACAGCGGGCCCCGCTGGTCTCTATGGGATTCGAACGCAGGAAGTCGGCCAACCACTTCACGTTACAGTCGCACACAAAGGGGTTCTGGGCCAGGTGGCTGATGGGAAATTTAGAGGGTGGTGTGATGTCAATGTGCTGGAACTGACAGAGTGAACAAACAGTGCTGAGTGTGTGTGTGTGTGTGTGTGTGTGTGTGTGTCTCACAGGGTCTGGATGCTGTGCAGGGAGCTGAAGGTGCCTTTAGCCAGACTCTGGATCTTGTTGTCGTACAGCGACAGTAGAGCCAGATTCTCCAGGTCCTTAAACACGGTGGCTCGGATGCAGTGGATCTTGTTTGCGTTCAGTAACCTGCAGGAACAAGAACAAACACAACCGAGTGTCACAACAATTCAAACGTTAAAAACAAATTCTGCGGACTCTTTTCTTCTGAGCAGTGAAAATAGCTGTATTCCTGTTCTATATCTATTCTTTGACCTTCGGCCTCTACACAGTCAAAATGAAATGTCCAAAACAAAATGATTTCATGTTTTCAGTCACATCGGCTTGACTTTAGTTTCCGTCCCTCGGTTTAACAACCTGTCCGACCCCTGAGCTCATTCATGTGTGAGTGTCGGGTGAGTCTCGTGGTCTGGACTTACAGCAGCTCCAGTGAGGACAGACCATCGAACACTCCGCCGGGCAGCTCCGTGATCTTGTTACCGTACAGAACCCTGCACACATGTGACTCATCATCAGTAACACTCTGAAATCACATCCCTGCAGATAAATGGATTCACACACAGTCCACGTGCCACAGCACAGACACACACAAACACTCACAGACACACACAAACACCCGCTCACATACAAACACATACAAACACTCACAGACCACCCGCTGTGACCGTTTGTACGTCCTGGTGCTCTTCAACAAATGTGTTTACAGAGAGCAGGCGCCACTTCTACATTATTCATACCAACAGTCGCACAAACACACGCGTGTGGTGTGGAGTTTCAGACGTGCTGAATGTTGAACACATGTAGACAGACACACTCTCACAACACTGTGTCAGGACGTGTGTGTGTGTGTGTGTGTGTGTGTGTGTTACTCACAGTGAGTTGAGCGCTCGGAGGCCGTGGAAAGCATCTGGAGCGATTTCAGAAATCTGGTTGTTACTCAGGTCTCTGAATAAAAATTAAAAAAACACAACTTGAGTCAGAAGGAAAAATCACACATATTTACAATGTTGATATCAATGAACAGACTTTTTAATTACTCATCTATTTATAAATGTCGAACTCTGCTCATGACTAATCCAACGCGGTGCTTTAATTTGTGATCATTGTATTATTTTACTATACCAAGTGTATTATTGTTGAAAGGCTGAATCTGTGCCTCCTCCTCCATGAAGGACGTGAGACGTCTCAAGGTTTTCATTTTTGTCTTCATGTAAAATCGCCATGAGGAATCCTCTGGGGTCAAACGTGCAGGACTGGTTTTAAAGTTTATTTTCCTAACGTGAGCGTACAGAAACTTTTTATAAAGTGGACTAACTCCATGTAACAGGAGGACGGGACCGTGAGTGAACTTGACAGCTATGTTTCACGTGAACGGCCGACTCAGAGAGAGAGAGAGAGAGAGAGAGAGAGAGAGAGAGAGAGAGAGAGAGAGGAGGAGGTGCTCCTCTGGCAAAGGAGAAGTTTTTTTTCGTGTCTGGTTCAGTTCGTCAGACCTGTTAGGTTAGAAAATCCTTGTTCCGCTGCCACGTCAGTCGTTCAACTGTCAAAATGAATTCTGAGACAAAACCACTTAATCCAGGCTGGAAATGTAATCAACCCCCCCCCCCAACGAGCTCAGGACAGTTTGACAGTGATGATGTAAAAAGGCAAAGAAAGAGGGGAAGGATAAGATTGAGAGGAAAAGGAAAACCACAGAGAGAAAAATGTCTGAGGATAGAAACGGGCAAAGGAAGAGAGAAGAGAAACGCAGCAGCAGTGGACAGAACGAAAACCACAAGGAGAGAAGGAAATAAAAAACCGAGAACAGAGCTGAGAGTCAAAAAGTCATGAACATTATTATTGTGGTTGAAAGTGGACTTTGTTTTTAAACAGATCACAAAGATATGCGCTGCCTTCATCATCCGGGACCCTGGAAAAGGCCTCGGACATAAATCAAGCGCTCCACGATGCTGGAAATCCACTGGGGCTGTTTGTTATGTCGAGAGGGAAAACCGCAGCCCGACGAACAGTGGAGACAGAGGCAGAGACGAGCGGTCATGTTGGCAGATCGGAGTTTAAAACACGAGTAAAACTGAGGCACGGCCGCTGCCGAGGCCAAAACACTGTGATGTGATTGGTTGAGATGAACCTCGGGGGACGGAGCTGTAGAAACCGCAGCGTCCCTGGTTTGATGGCGTTTGTCCCGCTATCGTTCAGACGACCTCAGCTGAAGAAAAACGATTATTATTATTATATCATATCGCACAAATCATCCGGGCTGAAGTTTACGTGTTACGGCTCAACATTACAACAAATAGAATACTGAGATAAAGTGTATTTATATTTAAAATCCATCCAGTGCTTCCAGCTTCTTCTTCTACTACTGATATGTGTACGACCGCCCCCTCAACTGAGATTATTCCTTCTTCTTCTTCTTCTTCTTCTCTTTTTACATCAAGTGTCCAACAAAACACAAACATCAGTAATTAGCGTCGTTAGCATGCGTTAGCTTTCAGGAGAAACTTGTTTGTTTGCTCTGAATCCTGAAATAAAAATGCTTCATCGTGAGGTTTTTATAAAAGAAAGAACAAATAACTGCATATTTATATTTTACAGCTGAACATGAAATCTCTTGAGATGATTGTTGTCTCCAAAACAGAAAGTGTTTCTGGTGGACTCACATTCGTCTGAGTTTCTTGTAGGAGGTGAAGGCGCCGGGAGGAACTGACTTGATGCCGTTCTGCTCCAGACGACTGGGGAGAGAGAGAGAGAGAAAGAGA